AAGGAAAATGCTCAAAAAATGTCTGGCATAGAATAAGCATTCAATAATGTTAGCAATTTCTGCTGCCATAAATATAATGGGCAAGATACTCTGAAGGGTCCTCCAGCTACATAATAACTATTCTGTATAAGACTTTTTAGGTAGCACATGCAGAACATAGGAAAAGTATAAAGGTTTTGTGTGTGTTTTTTAAAGGGAAAAACTAAAAAGACTCTAAGCTGAGAGAGGAGACATAAATACTAAACTCAGATGAAATGCATGTGATCCCAATAGTCCCTACAGAAGAAAATAAAAATCCTTTCTGGAGGAGCACACCCCATACCCATTTCACAGATGAATTAGGAAGAAAGACCCACAAAGGATTCTGAGTAGCCCATCATTTTCATGTCTATTCTTTGATTTCTGCTGTATCCTTTACATAGTACATGGAGAGCCATTCTGCCAATCTAGATTCTATAATCTTTAAAATTAATATATACAAATATTATTTCACCTCCCCCTCCCCCCCAAAAAAAGAAAGCTACTGCACTTAATTCATTTCAAGAACTCAGGGAGCCCTAGACTTTTTGGTTCATTGGATAGAGCGTCAGCCTGCGGACTCAAGGGTCCCAGGTTTGATTCCGGTCAAGGGCATGTACCTTGGTTGCAGGCACATCCCCAGTAGGGAATGTGCAGGAGGCAGCTGATCGATGTGTCTAATTCTCTATCCCTCTCCCTTCCTCTCTGTAAAAAAATCAATAAAATACATTTAAAAAAGAACTCAGGGAAAATTATGTGTTTTCATGAACACAGCATTCATTAGTCAAACCTGGGAGTCTAGTCCAACTTTCTTGTCCTATTTTTATGGCAACCAGAGATATGTGTTTAATGTCATATTTCCTAATTTTAAAGGGGAAAAAATCTTTATGCTTCATTCTGTGTGTCTGATGTACAATTCATCTCTCTTCTCTCCATTGGGTCACTGGGACACAGCTGTGAGAAGGAGCTACTTTGATAGCAGCACATTTTCACTTGCCCACCAATTTTCCAAGAACTATTACAACATTTTATAAAAATGCTAAGTTTGGGTTGTTTTTCAACTACTTCGTGAGAGTTACCGGGGAATACAACAAGGATAAGAAATTGCTGAGCTGCTGATGCTGTCAGGCCAGCTGAGCTTGCTGGCTGGTTAAGTGACACTGACCCTGACCATCACACCTACGGGCAGGATCCAAACACCTCCATAAAACTGCAAGCATCTCCTAGGGTCATCTGTGAAGGTCACACCTGTGCATGCCCAGGGCCTGTGGCAGATGCATGCCAATCAAATCCTTGCATACAGAGGAGGGGAGGAGAAACCCCAAGATTTGACAGGAAGTTGCTTAAAATACGCTTTTTGAAATATACACACCCCCAAAACAGGGACTTCTGCATTTAAAAAGACAAAAGAACCCTGGCTGGTGTGGCCCAGTAGGTTGGGCATGGTACCGTGCACTAAAAGGTTGCTAGAAAGGGAATGGACTGACTATTCTTGGGGGGAAAAGGGGTGTGGGAGATGGGGGAAGAGACTGGACAAAAATCGTGTACTTTGTTCTTGCATCTATGTTTTTCTCTCTCTCCTTTTCCCTTCCTCTCTCTAAAAATCAGTAAGAAAATATTTTTTAAAAGGACAAACAAATGTAATAATCTGAACAATAAAGATTTAATAAAAAAAAAAGAAATACAAAAAAAAAAGAAGTGATAGGGACAGTTGGGAAAATCTGAACATGGATTATGAGTCATGAAAGGATATTGGGAAATTATTGTTCATTTTCTAAAGTGTGATAATGGTATTGTGGTTATGTAGGAAAGTACCCTTAGTCTAGCAGGTGCAAGCTAAAGAAACTCATGATGGCTTCACTTAACCTCAATTGTTTCAATAAAAACAGAGAGAATTAGTAAATGTGAAAAAAATAAAAAGCATGCTTCTTGGCTTACCTTTTCTCACGTTCAGTAATGTATTTCAACTGATAACAGCCCAAGACGGTACAGATTGTTTAAATGTACACAGATGCTATCCAATTGCTAAGGATTCAGCTAAATGTGTAAGAAATAACCCTCATCTTTCAAGAGTTTATTTTTCAGCTGAGGGAATAAAATTTACGTGCATATAGGAAACTGAAGACAATGCATGGTGACATGTTTCTCTAATGGCCAAATTGGCACTACCGACGAAGCTGGAAAACTCCAGAGAAGGGAGAACATTTCGAGAGAAGACTAGAAAATCAGTTGTCTTGTCTTGTTTTGTTTTGTTGTTGTTTTGAGGAGGTGATGGATAAGGTATATATTGGGGTGAAAAAGGGGGAAGGGTGTTCAGGATGTGAAAAAAGAGATGGAGAAGCCCAAAGACATGGAAAAATGTAAACTGGTGTGTGGTTCTATTGCCATAATTGCCACATCATTTCCTTTCCACATCTTTTCTTCCTACTGTCCTCTCACTCTATCTACCCAATGACATGGCATGTTTGCAGCATCCAATACTATCTAGATTACACCTATAGTTTTTTTATTTTTATTCTAATCCCAGTGGCATATCTAGAATTAGTCTTGTTTTTCTTCTTCCTACAGAGAAAGAAAAAATGAATGATTGCACAGGCCCCCATTCATACGGATGAGGGGTGTAGTTTTCCTCCTTAATATGAGTCATTTATATGTTGCTTTTTTAGCCGGATTAAAGTTTCTGGCACAGTCATCCGCCCAGCAAGGATGAAGAGGGTGAGGTTTCCTCAAACCCTTGGAGAAGGCAGAGTCCAAAAATGATTCCCTAGAACCAAAATGTATTTTTTAATGCAGAAGACATCTGGTTCGACCGTCTTATCTGGCTTTGTTTGTTTTAATTTCAAAATAATCTCAAATTTATTGAAGAATTATGCCTTCCCTATTTGATCTTAATGAAATGAAAAGAGCTTCACTCTGACTAAATAACAAGACTTCCAGTGCAGTGAGATGCTAAATTATACTTCTGAGATAAGATAGTAAAATAATTTTTAAGGAGGCTGCAACCCATTTCAATTCGGGCACATGTAGGGTGCCAGTACTTCAGCTTCCACTCAGATATTTGCAAATGGGCAATACCAGCATGCTTACATAACTTATACCAGTGCAAATGTTTGTACAAAAGTCCTTACCTAGGGAAATAAAACGTAAGTAATGCATTTGTATTTTATTACTGTTGAAGGCACTTTAGTATCCATATGATGAATAAAAATATTAGATATTTGTTATCTCAAAAGAGTTGTCTATGGTCACTCTCTGCATGTCCTTATCTTCCTCCCATTCCAAAACCCAGCCAATCGCCACCCTCTCTCTCCACCCATGTAAGTCTTCCTAACGTCAACAATAATGGCCATTGTTTATCTCCCTGGCTTCATTTGTTTCTTCAACCCCCTCCTTTTCCATCTTCAGCAATATCCCACACCTGTTCCTAGTTCCTCTTCCTTGCTGGGTCTTTGCACAAGCCTTGCCCTCATCTTTTTCTACCTAGTCAGCTCCCATTTAACCTTCAGACTCAGCTCAAATAGCATTTATCTCCTCAAGATAAGCCAGGTCCTCTGGTTCCACACTTCCACAGCACTCTGCACTTTCCCTGTTTTAGAAATTATATACATACCGATGCTTATTTGATTATTGACTCTGAGTGAGAATAAGGCAGGACCTGCCCCTTTTTTGCTCACCATTTACCCCTAACTCGTGGAAGGTTTTGGTCCTTCTCAGCTATTATCAGTTCTTAGGAACGCGAAGCACACTGTTACACAGGGCGAGTGAGTCCACACTGAGCTGGAGCTTAAGAAGGTTCACAAGCCCCCACCAGGCTAGGGACCTGGAGTGGCTTCTGTGCTTTGCATTTCAAAAAAGAATCAGGGCATCCACGAGACCACCCTGCCAATGGCAGGAGGAACACACTTCTAGGTGAAATAGCACAGAGGAAAAATCTGCCCCACCCTGTGAAGACCTTAACAATGTAACTTCTTGTGTGCACCCTCACACATATGGGCCAGGACTACCTGTGCCCCAGAGGGAATAGCGCACAGAGCACAGCAGTCCATTCTATCCATTCCGAAGCATTTAGTGAACGCTGATTTTGTGCTAAAGCACTAAGCACTGCGAGGGACAGGAGATGGGCCATAAGAGCCATTGTTTATGCAGGCTCTACCATGTTCCAGGACTGAAAATTTTAAGTGGCAATTCACAAACAACAGTTTCAGTAAATTGCCATTTTATGAAGATGTGAACATGTAACAAATGATAATATAAACACCAAAGGGAGTAAGCAGGCCTTTATAATCTACATTATTCCAGATCCTCAACATAGTCCACGATAAAGGCATTTGAGAACTTTCTGAGGTCTCAGAATTCCAATAAAATCTACACTTCCAGGGTTCTTAATCATTCAGTAGGACATGAAACTAACAGCAGCACCCAGTAACCAAATATGTTGTATTCAGCTCCATATTAGAAATACCCAAAGTTCTTATTTAATAATTGGTTATTTGGGAGATATTTTTAGCAAACTATACATTTTTCTGACTCCTAAAGTGAATTTTTCCCACCTGGTTACCTGTGGTGAAAAAAATCCAAGCACCATTTATCTAACACATATTCATCTGAGTAACCACCATGTCCTAAGAGTCATGGATCTGAAAGTGATAAAGTTGCAGCCCCTGCCTTCAAAGTTGGGTTAAAGGGAAGACTCATGAGATAAAGTAAGAGCCATAAAGAGGCGCCAAGCAGAAAGTGGGGCACAAAGGAGCCAGGACTTAGCTCTGCCTGTCAACAGAGGGGCTGGCGCGATGTCAGTAATGACCTCATTGAGAGAGGGACACTTAATTGATCTTGCAAGGTATTAATCCAGCAGATGAAAGGTGAAGGAGGAACAGAGACAAAGACGCAAAGGCATAAACAACATAGAAGACTGGGCAAGCAGTCAGCAAGGCCAGGCCTGGATTTATCCCCTAGGTAAGCAATAAATAGCCATAAAAAGATTTTAAAGAATAAATTAGTTTTAAAAACTTGTACACAGATGTTCATAGCAGCACTGTTGACAATAGGCAAAGGTGGAAATCATTCAAATGTCCATCGACTAAGGAATGGAGTTCTCACATACTGCAATATGGATACACCTTGAAAACATTATCCTACATGGAAAAAAATAGGCACAAAAGATCACATATTGTATATGTCCATTTGCATGATTTACATTGAGAATAGGCAAACTTATAGAGGCAGAAAGCAAATTAGTGGTTGCTGAGGGGTGGCAGTGCGGGGGAGAATAGGGAATGACTGCTTCATGGTTAATGGGTTGTCCTTTCAGTTGATAAGCATATTCTGGAATCAGATAGCGGTGATGGTTACACAACTTTGTTAATGTAATAAATGACACTAAATTGCACACTTTCCAAGGGTGAGTTTTATGTTAAGTTATAAAAGTAAAACAAGAACAAAACTAACAATACAAAAAGTTATAAAGTGGCAAGTAAAAATTCTTTTCCACATCCCCAACCCTTAAGTATTACTTGGGTTCTGAATTTTAATATGGCTTTCCAGAAATGTGTCTTATATGTGCACGGAGGGGGCCGAATGGTCATAGCATACACTTTTTGCTGTCAGTTTAACTTGTTTGGGAATCTCAGGATTTTGAAATTCCTACATCACGTGTAAGCCTAGAAGAACTCCCTTTAAGTCAGAATCACCTTGTAACTGCTTTAGCTTTCAAAGATTTTATTTTTAAAGTCATGAATCAATAGCTTGCTAACAAGCTTGGATTTTCAGGTGGGGTTCACTGAGAAAGGTTCACTCTGTCAAAGTAGTTTTTAAAAACCAGTAACACAGAGAAGAGAAAGAGCATTGTGACTATAGAGACAGGTCCCATGTGATGCCAACCGAGCAGGATCATACCAGGAAGATGCGACAGGTATTTATTGGAAAATGGCTTCAGTTGTATTAGTGCATAGATCACTAATTCATGGGGAAGATTAGTATTTCATATGCAGAGGCACCAACTTCAATAGTCAAAAGGCTTTGAGAAACAGATCTCAATTAGAAGTTAAATTTAAAGTTAATGTAATTAATGTGACACCGTCAACTAAACAATGTTTTCACAAAGGAAAGGGTGTGGCTTTTAAAAAGTTAGGAAACAGTGTCATGCATGAAGTAAGATCTTGTGAGAGAAGATTAACATTAATTACTCAAGTTCAGAAAATGCATCAGAAGAGATGAATTAGTCCTTCTCTTTAATCTTAAGGATTGAATCCGTGTTAACAATTTAAGTAACGGAAGCTACTGTAAGTTGGCCATTTGACTATTTGAAAACAAAGAGCTACAGGATAGTTTCAGGAGAGAGAAAATTCATTCAATGTATAGTCATCAGATATTATTTCCAGGGTTAATGTTAACACTCTGAGCCTCAGTTTTCTTGCCTATACATAAGGAGAACAGTTTCACTTCATAAAGCAATCAGGAGGATTGGGCTTTGCAAAGCACTCAGCACAGGGCCTAGCACATAACAAGCGTCCGATACATGTTCACTATCATCATCAGTGTGGCTCCTGTCTCCAAGCTTATAATCCAGTGTCATAGGCAAGAAGCCAAAGGCAATGCAAGAAGATGACTTATACCCAAATTTATTTTCTTTTTATTCATGTGATAGTATCCGAATGCACAACTGCTTAATATAAGAGATGTGCTACTAATATTTTAACTAATCAAACTTTTAAAATCATAATTTAAATGTACCACGGAACACTTTTAAAGGTTACCATTGTGGTTGAGTGACCAGTTGAGACTTTATCTTGTACTTTGTTCTTTTAGTGCCTTGGATGCACCAGGAAAGAATGAAACACTGTTCTTCTCCAGAGGGGAAGCCAAATATTAAGACCAGTGTGACCACAGGGGTCTGTATGAGTTGTTCTAGAACAGGCTGAGCCTAGGGGTACAGAGTTGCCACTGAGCTGGCCTTGGTGAAGGCCATATCCAGCCTGGACAGGGCAGAGTAGTAATAACAGACAGATGGCTGGGATCAGCACCCAGTTGCAGCATCATGTGGCCACAAAGGACAAGGCAGCCATGGCCACCAAAGCCTTAGAGCTTCACATATGAAGATCCCCCTTAAAAACTGAAAGCAAGTTCCACGAGGGCAGCAGCTTTGTCTTGTTCCCCAACAAGCTCTAGCCCCAGAACAAGAACAAGGACCTGGCATATCATAAACATTGAATCACTATCTGGAAAGCAACCAACACTTAGATCATAAAAGGCTCTGGGAATCCGGTAGAGTAGAAAGAAAGAAAAGAGAAATCCCAAAGTGACTGATAATGGACTTTCCAATAATTGTGTGGGTATGGCTCAAACTGATTCTCTTAAAATTTTAGAAATAGAAAAAAAAAGTGACATGATTAGCACCGAATGGGTAGATCAATTCAGTTCTGGTATATTAATCACTGAAGCCACTTATACAAAAGATGGACATGAATGTTGTACAGGTGAATAGTCCTATTTGAAGTGCAAGAGTACATGATCTGAGATTTTGACAATTTGAGATCATTTACTCTTTTTTTGAGGTCTGATGAAAGCTATGAACCTCATAGAAAAATCCATATGCAGACAATGCAACAATTAAAGGAGGTAGCAAGGAGATTAATAGATGACTGGTTAACAGAATAAGAAGAACCCGAGGTCCCTTTTGAATCCATTTCTATTGGTCTACATGAACAAAATAGGTCCAGAGGCGTGGATGCATGGAACAGACTACACAGACAAGCATATCTCAGAGGGAAGGACGGGGTGGGGGGAGAGATTAACCAAAGAGTTTATATGCATATATGCATAACGCATGGACATAGACAATAGTGCAGTGAAGGCCTGGGGTGGGGCAGGAGCTGGGTGGAGGAAGGTAAAGGGAGGGAAAAAATGGGAGACATCTGTAATATTGTCAACAATAAATTTTAAAAAAATCCCTTCTTACCAACTCTTTTGTGAAGTGCATGTATATCCTTTCTGAATCCGTTTTGTAAATTCAGATATATGCATATCGATTAGATTAGTTTGAGAGCTACCATTTTTGCATTGTTTGAGGAAGCCTGGGATTGTGGGATGGCTGTAGGTTGGGAGTATTTCTAGACTTTGAGTTGCATGAGTGCTGAGAACCCAGATGTAAAAATAGCTTTATTGACAAGAGCACATCAAATAGTGCTGAGGGAAAAGATCAAGAAAAAGGTGACACAGCTTCCGTGGGGAAGAAGCAGGAGGTGACTAACAGGACTAGCAGGAACCTGAGACTTGGCTGCAGGTGAAGATGGCTTTCTTTGTCTAGGATTCAAAGGCACAGCAACGAAGAAGGCAGAGCTGAGACAGTTAAGTGCTCAGGTGGCTGAAATGGTAACCAGAGACTTTAAATAAAATCTGGAGAGATAATAACTGCTGGAGAGGAAACATCTAGATTCCAATCCCAACTCCCTTCCTTCCTGGCTGAATAGCACTGGGCAAGCTATTAACAATTTCTCTGGAAAGAATATGCTCCTTATAATTGTATCCACTAATGGAGTACAGCCCTTTGCCTTGTGACACTGAGCATTTGGCTTTAAGTGGTAAATCGTAATACACTGTGAAGGGAATGTGTTGTTGTGATCTCATCATTGGCCACAGACTCCAGTTCTTTAACATGTTAAACACACAGCATAGAGTAGGTATTCAATATTTGTAGAATGAATGCTTAAAGGCATTACATACCTAATGGAGTGCAAAAAAAAAAAAAGTAACTGCCGATTTCTGTGTTTTGACATAAAACAACACCTTTTAACAGTAACATAATTTTGCCCTAGCTGGTTTGGTTCAGTGGATAGAGCGTTGGCCTGTGGACTGAATGGTCCCAGGTTCGATTCTGGTCAAGGGCACTTTCCCGGGTTCCGGGCTCGATCTCCATTAGGGGGCCATGCAGGAGGCAGCTAATCAATGATTCTTTCTCATCATTGATGTTTCTATCTCTCTCTTCCCTCTCCCTTCTCTGAAATCAATAAAAAAGATATTTTATTAAAAAGTAACATAATTGCCCTAACCGGTTTGGCTCAGTGGATAGAGCGTCGGCCTGCGGACTCAGGGGTCCCAGGCTCGATTCCGGTCAAGGGCATGTACCTTGGTTGCGGGCATATACCCAGTGGGGAGTGTGCAGGAGGCAGCTGATCGATGTTTCTTTCTCTTCGATGTTTCTAACTCTCTATCCCTCTCCCTTCCTCTCTGTAAAGAATCAATAAAATATATTTTTAAAAAGTAACATAATTTTAAAACCAGAATAGATTTAATCAACATAATTAACAACTTCCAAACATCTGCATTTTGTGTAATAGAAATCACTTTGAGACAAGATATAATTACATGCAATGTTTTACTTTCTAAAGTATATGCAAATTTGTTTTAAAATATTCTCAACAAAATTAAGACAAATTGTACAGCAGTTTCTATAATTTTGTGGAGCATTCATTCATTTAACATTTATTGAGTACCTACACTATTTACAAGGCCCTGTGCTTGCTAAGACATAAGTAAATATTTCCTTCTTTTCTTCTTATGTCATGTGAGTAGGAACTTATAATCAATTTGGGTGAAAATATATACAAATAAGGTACATGGTCAGCAAATGTATATAAGTAGTCTATAAGAAGAATGACAATAAGAGAGACATTTATAGGAGGGAGAAGTCACTTTGTGGTAGGGAAGTAGTAAAAATATTTTGGAGAGGGCACTTGAGTTGAAATTTAAAGAATGAACTTAAGCCCTGACCGGTTTGGCCCAGTGGATAGAGCATCAGCCTTCAGACTCAAGGGTCCGGGTTTGATTCCGGTCAAGGGCATGTACCTTGGTTGGGGGCATGTCCCCAGTGGGGAGTGTGCAGGAGGCAGCTGACCGATGTTTCTCTCTCATCGATGTTTCTAACTCTCTATCCCTCTCCCTTCCTCTCTGTAAGAAAATCAATAAAATATATTTTTAAAAAAGAATGAACTTAAGCACAAGCGAAATGAAAGACAAGCAGACTTAAAACTGGCACAACTTCTAGGAAGAGAAGAGAATTTCTCACCAATGTAAATGGATTTGAAATTACTGAGTAATCTCTTGTTAAGTTCCTCAACATCCTCAAAGCTGGATTATTAATAAAGGCATGTGCTTCTGCATTTTACACGCAACACAAAAACTCCAGGCTTTTGCCAAGGAGAACTACTCAGGCTCTTGCCTCTTGGTGTTCAGCAAAACTCCATTGACAGGACTACTTTTAGGAGGAGTGCAGAAGGACACATGGTTCTGCCCTGCCTGTGACATCCTAAAGTCTATCTCCAAAAAGGGAACATTCTCTCCATTTGACCCAGTGATCCCACTTCTAGGAATATATCCCAAGAAATAAAAATACCAACCAGAAAGATATATGCACCATTATGTTGATAGCAGTGAAATTTATAATAGCTAAGATTTGAAAACAACCTAAGTGCCTATCAGCAGATAAGTGGATTAAAAAACTGTGGTACATCTATACAGCGGAATACTATGCTGCTGTAAAAGAAGGATCTCTTACCATTTGCAACAGCATGGGTGGACCTGAAGAGCATTACGCTAAGTAAAGTAAGCCAGTCAGAGAAAGATAGGTATTACATGATCTCACTCATTTGTGGAATATAATGAACAGCATAAACTGATGAACAAAAATAAATCCAAAGACAGAAGCATCAAACAGACTGTCAAACCTCAGAGGGCAGGGGAGGGTGGGCGGGGGTAGAGAACAACCAATGAACTTGCATGCATAGATGCATAACCAATGGGCACAGACAATAGGAGGGTGAAGGCCTGGGCTGGGGGCATGGGCAGGCTGGGAGAGGTTAATGGGGGAGAAGGGGAAGGGATATATGTAATACTTTCAACAATAAAAATTTAAAAAATAATAATAATAAAGTCAATCTTCAGGTCTTTTCAGATCAGCCAAGACCTAGGTACTTGGATCACCTCCCATTGCCCCTCCCCATAGCCTCAGCCCTACAGAATAGATATATGGGCCCCTACTTTTTGTCACATCTTCAGTTCAAGTCATAGGTGCTCAAAAGAGGCGACCCTACAAAACTCTACCTTGAGAAGGAAAGTTGTTAAACATAATTATAAGACACAGTGTCTATCTAGGAGAAATTCCAGTCTGAATGCAGCATCAAAAATAGATGTGTTCTTCTTGAGCAGTTGCTTTTAGTACAGATATTGTTAACTAGGTAACACATATCCCTTTATCAGCTGGCACAATGAATTACAAAAAATTAAATTGATTTAAGAGAGAGACACATTAATTTGTTATTCCACCCATCCATGCATTCATTGGTTGATTCTTGTATGTGTCCTGACTAAGGATGGAACCTGTAACTTTTGGCATATAAGGAAGACACTCTAACCAACTGAGCTACCTGGCCAGGGCCCACCATGCATTTTAAATATAATTCCTAGCTTTGTTTCATGTCAACAGTTGAATTTTTCTTCTCCCTGTAAATGTATAAAAGCATCACTGTCTGCCTATGCTCTTTGGAACTGCCTTAAATCCTTTCTACAGAAACAAGCATCGTAAATACATGACTGATTGGATTGATTTTCTTGCAGGTGAGGGAAGTCCAGTTGGTCTTTATCCCTAAATCATCAGATCAATGCCTGTAAGTGAGTGGGCATGCCATAAGCCTGCAGGAGATACTGCCCATCTCTGCAACTGTCAGATCCTTCAGGCAGCAGTCATGTGTCAGATACACCAGCACCTCGGCTGCCTGCAGCCACAGCACCAAATCAATCAGGGCTGCCAAGAAATTCCAGAAATCAACAGACAACTTTACACAAATGGAAGGGCAGCAAACTCCAGCCATGCCAGCATTGTTGCTTCAAAGCCTCAAAGAAGAAGTGCAATTGTGCTTTTTAACTACCTCTCTGGGATTAGAAATGTCTGTTTTGTTCCACATCTCTCATGAATGTCTTTGTTTTATACATCACATTCCATGTACTTTCCTGACCACCTACTTTGTGTCAAAACAGTAAGACTATGTTGAGGGGCCCTAACACAAAAGAGCTTCAGCCCTTCTCATGACAGGAGGCAGCAGGGACTTGGACATAAGACAGGCATGGGTGTGAATCTTGGCTTTGCCACTTACTCCCTATGACTACAGCCAAGTCAGAGAACTCTCCAAGCCTCCATTTCCTCATTTGTAAAGCAGGGATGATGATGATGATGATGATGATGATCATGATGATGATGATGATGATATTTAGTCTAGGGTTGTCAGTGTACAAAGAATCCGGCTAAGTATCTGACACACAGTATGACAATTAACGTTACCTTCTCTCCAGTTGTCCTCCTATTTTTCAAGAACTTTAAATCAATTCAGTGAGTGAGAACATTCTATTAAGCAAAGTATAATCAAAGGCAAAAATGAAATCATTACTTCAGTGAAAGAAAAATAATAACAATGGCCAATAGTTATTGAGCAACTACTATGTGCCAAGTGCTTTACACACATTATCTCATCTGCCTCACAACTCCTTCACAGTGCTATTATTGTCCACATTTTATAAATAAGGATGCTGAGGTTCAGATATGAAAGAAACTAGTCAGATAAAAAGACAAGTACCATATGATCTCACTAATAAGTGGAATCTAGTGAACAAAACAAACAGGCATGGATACATGGAACAGACTGACAACTGTCAGAGGGGAGAGGAAGGGGGGATTGGATGGAAAAAGGTGAAGGGATTAACTGGAAAACATATACGTAACAGATAAACGCAGACAACAGTGATAGCCAGAAGGAAAGGAGGTGGGGTTAGGTGGAGGTGAACAGTGGCAGCAGCAGCTCTGCTCCTCACGTGAGAGCATTAAAATAGAAAGGACGTCTCTTCCCACATCTGTATCCACTGATTAGGCAGAGAAATATTTCCCAGAAGCCTTGAGCCAACTTCCTTCATGGCAGAATGTCTTCCTGGCCACCCTGAGCGACCAGGAAGCTGGGAAAAGAAGTATCCAGCAAATGAGATTATGATGACCAAGACTGGCTTACCCCACGATATATCTGTGTATTACAAGCAGATCAAAGTCAGATGCGCTAATAAGGAAGCAGGGGTTATAGCTATTGAATGGGTAACCAACAGTTCCTGCCATGAGCATTTTAAACAAAACAATCTGCCTTCCGGAAAGTAGGAATTTACAAGATAATAACATGATATTTGGGCATGAACACGTTGCTAATGACAGCAAAGCTCTGATTTGGCAGTTTCAGAAGGGAGGGCTTAGCCCAAATTCCCTCTTCAAGTTCACAGCATACTCTGGGGTTCTGAGCTTGGCAAGGAAGATGGGTATCCACTTGCCAAAGCAGAAGGGGAGGATGATTCAGAACCACTATGATGTGTGATTTTCACTGTGAGAACTGGCAAAGCAAGATGGTGATGCATTGTCAGGTGAAATACAACTCTTGGTCCTCCCAATAGCTTCAGGAAATAAAGAACATTGTCTCATTCCCTTCACCAGAGCCATTTAACCCTTTTCTGCATGCCCAAGTCCTGTGTGTTCTTAATGTCCAGCTCAATTTTGGCTTCCTTCATCAAGCTTTTTCTATCACTGGCCAATCTGTATCCCACCACACAATGGAAGACATTCACAAATATCTTTCCAACCCTATCATCAAATCCAGGTGACTTGACATAAATAGCTACCAATTTTGTCCACTTATCTCCATCTAAATTGCTGATAATAACTGCTGGTGTTTATTGGGCATGGGCTATATGCAAGGCATTAATCTATGTACTTTGCAACTATTAACTCATTTAATCTTCTCAACGACCCTATGGGGTAGACTATAGTAATATTTTATACATAAGATTACTTGGAAATAAATTGCTAATAACTTGATCAAATTCACATAGGTTGTAAGTGAGCAGGTAAATGGTAAAGACCGAACTTGAACCCAGGTCTCTGTTTCTCCACAGGACTTTCTACTGCTACCCCAGGACATTACCTCCAAATGATTCTCTTTCTTGCTCTTGCCTCCATGTAAGTGTTCATTAAAAGGCCAAAAGCTTCCCTGGCAGGTGTGGCTCAGTGGCTGAGTGTCAATCTATGAACCAGGAGGTCACAGTTCAATTCCCTGTTGGGGCACATGCCTGGATTGCAGGCTTGAGCCCCGGTGTGGGGAGTGCAGGAGGCAGCTGATCAATGATTCTCTCATCATTGATGTTTCTATCTCTCCCTCTCCCTCTCCCTTCCTCTATGAAATCAATAAAAATATTTTAAAAGACCAAAAGCATCTTTATGTATCTTTAAAGTCAACCTGACCCTGCTGCATGTGGAATCAGGCAGTTTAGTAATATGTGAGCACACAGTGTCTCACGATTAATTAAATATCTGCAAATGAATTATACAGGCTGGGTCTTTCTTTTGAAAAACATGTCACTTGAGTAGAAAAACTAACTCTGAATTCAAAATGCCCCATACTAAAATATTGACTAGAGAATTAATTTTAATTAACCTAATTTTGAATGAGCTTTAATTAACGCACTAAAAGTAGTGAGTCACTGCCATTCTCTGAGCCAAAATGAATTTATATGAAATAAGGGATGAGGTCTAGAAGGGAGAGAGAGAGGGACAGAGGAAGTCATGTCCCCTCTCTCTGAGATGCTACCCCAGACCTGAGCTCAAAGTGGAGAACTAAGCTCCCAAGACCCAACACAACTGATTCTATCACACAACCTACTTACTGTGGTTACCCAACATGTAATCCACCCATGACCTGGGTTGGAACCTCCAGGGCCCATTGTTGGAATGCCACTTCCTGGGGCCCCCTCCAGGCCTACAGAATCACCTTCTCAGAGGATGATGCCCAGGACCCAGCACTGTCACAAGCACCCTCGATGGCTCTGATTCATCCCACGGTGTGAGAACAGCTTTCAGAGCTCAGTAAAATGTAAAGACCATGATGATTCCTCAGATTTATTTCATGGAGATATAATTTTAAAGTAAATAAGATAATATCCCAGTAGCTCTAAAGGAGAGGCATTCGCACTTTGAAAATGAGGGAAATCAAGTCTTGACATATCGATGGTACATTATCCCTGTATGCAGTCAGAAATCAACTGCTTTGTACTTCGGAGCAGAGCTGTCAACAGTTACCAATTCAGTGATGGGGGCATTTTACACCACAAATCGAAGCCACTTAATGAACTCACCTTTGCATTCAACTCCTAGTTAATGTTATCTTGTGGGGAAATGGCATTTTTCTAAATTTATTACTTCAGTATGTCCCCGAGTTAGGATAGACTTCCTGACTCAACTACTAATTGCATGTTCGAGACTCCCTTTGATACTTCTTCTGTACAACACCTAGCAAAGGTAACTTTTTTTAGATAAATTACTTCCTTTTCTTATTCCTCTCCACTGGTTAAACCCAGTCCTCAAACTCACTCTGTTGCCTGCTACCCTACCAATTAAAATTCAGGATACGAGAAATTAATTTTGAAAAAAGAACCCTAAGAGTTGAACAGCTCCTTGTGGTTAGGCAAACTCCTCTGGCCTTTCCCCAGCTTAGCAGTCTCTGTTCATTGGTTTCCGGGGACTTTCCTTGAGCCTAAGAGTTCCCTGAAACTGGGGGTAAAGTACTCAAGGCAATAGTGCATCAGTCTGGGGGTTTATGGGACTCTCCCCATTTGGAGCAGCTCTGAGAGTTCAATCACTTTGGAAATACTAGAGCAGGCTCCCTGAATACGCACAGAGAATATTTTTTTAAGCACCATAAGAAAACAAGGTCTAGTTATCCCCAAATGTAAGAGTCATTATTTAAAACTCTCACTGACTCAGAAGAATTTTTAGTCAAGAATAGCATCTTCAAGCTGACAAGTCACAATACCTGCACTTTTGCTAAACAAACTGGTGGGGGAAAGCTCAAAAACATCCCATCCCAGCTTAGTTTTTTTTTTCTTCTAAACAAATGGAATGCCTTTCATTTATCAAACTGGCCAGGCCACTACAGTGAGCACCAATGCATATGGAACAGTAAATATCAGACATCAAGTTACCCGTGTTGTTTGCAGAAACCTGACTTTGGAAAAGGAAGTGTGGAAGATACACGGGTAGGAGACATTTTGCACCTTGAAATGGAACTGCTTGCTGCGATGCAAATGGCTCTGGGTGTGCGTTGGGGGCGTGGGGTGGATAATTTCTGCAGACTATCCTTTTAGGATTCCAAGTTTTGTTTGAGTCATTAGTAAGCATACTGTCTATTGAATGATCACATGAATGAAATTAGTACTTTGCTGATTCTATGCACTGAGAGGACTAAGAACACTGATCAAATTTCCCCTCCTCTGTTAATCCTTTCATGAGACATTTACAAAGCGCCTAGGCTAGTAAATGCCTAAGCCAGGCACCTGATAGACCAGGTTCTAGTCTAGTAACAATCTCTTACGATTTGCGAGGGCACAGCCTCGCTCCCCTTCCTCGACAGCCTAGACGGCTGTCGCCCAAGGGCTCCCGGCTTCTGGGACACCTGTTTGGCTTCTAGGAACACGCTCCTCCCGGGCCGCCAGGATTCTTCCTGCTTCCCCCGCAGCCCAGCCCTCGAGTTCTACTCCGGAGCTGGCACTCGCTCTGCACGGAGCGAGCTCTGGGCTCGCAGGGCACCGCGCGCCACTCCTTCCACCCGCCCGCCCGTCGGGCTGCGCCAGACCCGCGCCCGCTTACTTTGCCGCTGTCGCTCACTCCCAGGAGGTGATCCCGCAGCACCTCCATGGGGCAGGTCCAGGTGGAGTGGACGAACGTCCCTCGGAAGATGTGCGACAGGAGCGGCATCTGGGCGGCACACATGTCACCGGCCGAGCGCAGCGCGGGGTCCGCGGGCCAAGAGGGGCGCACCGGGCGGAGGCACAGAGCGGGCTCCCACGGCTGTGGACGGCTGCTGAGCCCGCACCGGCTCCTGCTCTCCTGCCCCTGCTTTTCTGGAGATCACCTGCCCCCTGCAGGCCGCGCCCAGGGGTGGCTCCCTGTCTTTTCTATACCAATGGGATTTTCCTGCCTGGAGTTGGCTCCCTGCTCCACTCCCGTGGGTGTGGTCTTTCCCTCCTCCACTGCGTTCGTTTTTGATATATTAACTCTTTGAGTTTCCAAAATCAGGCTCACGCTGCAGTTCTTTGCATCCCTGGTGGCTGTCACCCACTCAGGGGGCAGGAGATGAAGGAAGGAGCTGGAGGAGTCAGGATTCCAGCCCCGGACCTCGAATTGGTCACTAAAGGTGCTTTTGCTCTCTGTCCCCCAACCTTCTCCACCTTCCTTTAGTGGGCACACCTAGAGTTGCACCTGCCTGTTTTCTCTCCTTTAGGTTCTTAGGGCTGTTTGTGGCCAAACCTTGGACTCTTCGACCTGTCGCACCCACACACTCTGACCTGGCACAAGTTCAGACACGGATGAAAGGTCGGTTAGAGCAGCCAACCTTACAGACAAGTTTCATTTTCAGCTTCTGCCAGCGGCAGAATTTGTCCTAATGGTCTGGAAGCATGTCCTAGCAGTGATGGCGAACCTTTTGAGCTCGGCGTGTCAGCATTTTGAAAAACCCTAACTTAACTTTGGTGCCATGTCACATATAGAAATTTTTTGATATTTGCAACCATCAAAACAAAGACTTATATTTTTGACATTTATTTTATATATTTAAGAGCCATTTAACAAAGAAAAATCAACCAAAAAAATGAGTTCGCGTGTCACCTCTGACACGCGTGTCATAGGTTCGCCATCACTGTACAGAATTGCTAGGAGCGCCTCCCCCCCTCCCTCCACTGGAGGTTAATCTGGACCCCAAAGTACCTCTCTTCACTTTGAGGCCAATATGTTGATCCTTCTGTCCATCCACAGACAATTACAATTCTAAGTTTTCTCACACCTAAATCAATCTCTGACTTATTTGCAGTTGTACAAAGGGGAGAAAATAAATACTCTAGCCAACTAGCTAGGAATGGCAGTGTGACATGGCATGGTGGGAAAAGTGCTGGGTTAGGAGTCGGGAGACTATGGTCCATGAGGTGGGCCTTAGCATCCTTATCACCGTCCTTTGTGAAAATGGAACTCGGATTGGGTGCTGCTAAGACTGCTTCTAGATCCATATTCCTTGCCCACACGACACCCACACAGTTCCTCACTAAGTTCCTCCCAGAAAACCAGCTGGGTTCTACTCAGGGCCTTTGCACCTGCTGCTCCTCCTGCCCCTCATGCCTCTTGTGGGTCTTCACATGGCCAGCTCTTCCTGTTACTGGTTCACTTCAATTGTCAGCTCTTAAAGTGACCTTCCTCCCCCCTCCCCCTGCCCCTGAAATTTCTATTCCATCATGCATCCTACATCTGCCATTGCATTGATTATATCCACCACCATGTATTTTATGTTTTTTATTTATTTATTTCTGCTTCCCTTCTCCCAATACACACACACAGGAATGGAAATACCACTAGAATAGGGGTCTTGTGCCTAGAACAGTGCCTGGTGTCGCATACATATTTATTGAATAAAGGAAGAAATGGTTTTCCTGGGAGCAGAACAATAACCTGAGATAAGTATTCGGTTTTGGTGACGACATAAAGAATGAATGTCCCATTGCCGTGCACGAGCAGGCTTTCCCTGAATTGCTGCTTTTATGATGCAGGGCTAGCTTATATGAATGATTTATTATTTTCTCAGTTCCTTCATTCCCCCTAATGTCTAGGGTGACCACCTCATCCCAGTTATGGGAGACTTTCCTTGTTTTAGAACAGAAAGTCTTGAAACCCAGAAAACTCCTCAGTCTCAAGTCCACCAAGGAGGTTGGTCTCCCTGCCAAAGACTCAGATTGGGAAGCCCTGAATCTTGCCTTGTGGAGACATGAGCCCTCTCTCCCTGTCACTTTCTCCTGATCCTAGAGACCACACTCCCTCCTGGCAGTCCCAACAGCCAGAACACCGAAACCATCCTCTTGATCTAGGCCTGTATACACACAAACCTCAGAAAGAAAAGTGAAGAAAGTGTCTGGCTATTATTGTAAAAAACAGAAATCAGTTAAATGCTCCTAATAGATGTGTTGGTCTCCTAAAACAGATACAGCTAGTATATTTCTAATGAAAGCCATCTCAATATCCAACAACTGAGACTAGTGAATTTGAATGTATTTGCTCAGTAGGATATTATGCAGTTATTAAAAACAATTAGGGCAAATATGTAGGCATCTGGGAATTATTTTAAGTTTTTTTTAAAGGTATTTATGCTTGGTTAAAATCATGAAACACCTATAGGCATAATGGCTAGACTTGAAAAAGTATAGCGAACAGTGGCTATGGTCTTATTGGGGTAATGGAATTGCTAGGGAATTTTGTTTTGATGTTTACTGCTATTGCTGTCTGTGGCTCATGGTATGAGTAATTACAGTGTAGATTTAAATGAAGTTCATCTTACACAGAAGGAATGGCCACAGGCCTCCCGGTGACATGGCGTTTGTGTTCCTCAGGTAAGTGCACAGCTCTGCTCCCATTCACAGCCCAGCTGTAGACCCCTTGCTCAGCATCCAGCACCCTCAGCTCAGCCACACGTCAGAAAATCTGGACAACTCTCATCCCTCCTCCACCCTAAGATTCAGAGACTCCTTTACATTGTTGGTCCTCCTGCAATTGTGAAGCCCATCCTGGTCTCCCCAGGGAAATGTTCTCAAGGTCACTGAGGTTTGGAGGGAAAAGGAGTTGTAGAGCTTGTATAGTCACCTTTGAAACATAGCCCAAACACGTGGCAAGCCAGCTTCTGGTTAATGTGGTTACCCGACAGGGCAAAGTATGCAACAAATGGCATCTATTGTGCCTCCAAAGTCTCAAGGAATGGCAGTTTCTATTCTCCAGTTCTTTCTACAGCCCATGTTTAAATCCATGCAATATTAGGACTGAGAGTCTTACAAATTATTATTTAATGTGCATTTCACTGCTGTTCTCTAGTATTATCATTCCCTGTCAGCAATGGCTCCTTTCAACCCCCACCTACTCAGTTCCTCAAAAGGAAAGCCACCAATGGTGTGCACTTTCAGGGTCCAACCCCCACATTTCACTCCCTTCCAAAGAAAAGAGACTCTCCTTCATATGGCTGCTTCTTCCGGCTCTTCCTCCTCCTCCCCCACACACGTTGCATCTGCTTGGCTCATGATCTCTCTGCCTTCCATGGTGCTGGCCTCATTTTACTACCTACTTACCCCTGATCAAATCCTTCAGCTTAATTGCTCACTCCCAACCCCCTCCAGGAAATCTTTAGACTCCCTCTCTCTCTGGTGTTAGGTGCTTCTCCTTTATTAGTCTGTCTCCCCAGAAGATTGTGGTCGCCTAAAGGACCAACCTCTCTCTTTTTCCCCTTTCTTTCTCTGTATCCCCTAACACAGTGCCTGGCCAAGAGAAGCTGCTCAAGAGATTTATATAAATGCTGAATTTCAAGAGATGGCTCTATTGCCTATAGTTTAGTGCTTAAAAAATAAAGGGCTATAGTAAGTGTGTTAATGGTGAGATTTTTATTGGGACTAGAATTTAAGAAAGAGCTTTAGCCCTGGGCCAGGGTGGCTCGGTTGGTTAAGCAAAGTCCCAAGAAGGTCAGCAGTTCCATTCACTATCAAGGCACATGCCCAGGTTGTGGGTTCCATCCCCAGTAGGGGGCGTGCAGGAGGCAGTTTCTCCCTCTCTCTAAAAATCAATAAAACTATATTTTTTAAAAAGAAAGAGCTTTATTTTCTTGATTTAGTCTTCCAACATTTTATTATGAAAAATTTCAAACATACCGAAAAGTTGAAAAGCTTCATTTCTTAAGACCACATTCATCCCTACTTCCAATGGAAACAATGGTCTCAAAATTCCCCAACTACTAGGTGGGTCAAATATATTCTGAAACTCTAATGGCCTGAGGCAAAGGACAGGATCATAGCATGATCAGTTTTGACATTTAGGTCACCTCATTGGTGTAATTATACCAGCAGCCGATCAAACTCTCCTGCTAGATAGAATTTGACCTGTTTTAAAAGGCTTTCTCTTCTTCTATCTCATTTTGAGCCACACAACAACCCTATAAAGTAGGAAGAGGGTGTACGTTAATCATTTCAGAGATGGGGAAACTGAGGTTCAGGGGCTTTGGCTTGCCTATCTACTTAGTGCAGGATGGACCTGGGTCTTGACTGCAGTTATCCCCACCCATTGTCTCCCCGTAATAGACGGTGAAGAATTTTACATTCAGTTTTTCCATGACTCACTTGGTCACTGTGAGTTGTCATCTACAACTTCCACATTGTACAGGGTTTTCCAACCATTGTCAGTGACACACCGGCCCACCCTGAAGTAAAACCAAAGCAGGAATAAAAGTGGGACCTCGAGGAGATAAGCAACCCAATCAGCAGAGGTTAGTGAAATGATCCAGTGAAAATAACGCGTGTTTTCAGGAAGCGCAGAGAATACAGGGCAGGCGGGTTAAATGAGAAGCCGCTTTCCTCTCCTATCCAGGAAAAAGTTGTCGTTGCACAGTGAAGTAAATGCCTGCCTATTTTATTTATTCTTTCTGTGTAGCTAAATCTATCAGTTTCCATGGTGCTCCATGTTCACCATGGAAACTGACAAGCTTGTTATGCTTTAAGGGGAAAAAAGGCACACCAAAAATCTGAGATGGAATAAATGCATTCCTTTTAAAATTGTGTTCTTCTGAGTAGGAAGCCTTGATGGATAGCAAATCATAATGATCTCAATTTTCCAGTTCTTAAGTGAGAATGCAGGTTTGCATACCCATCAAAGGAATACTCTTGTCCCCCCTCCCCAAATTACTTTATCTTTATAGCATAGTTATATCTGTGGGTGCCTCACTTCTGCATTTACTAGCAATAGAGAGATGGCTCAATCCTCACTTAGCCAATTTTTATGACCTGTAGTGCTGGTCCCTATATATTTTATTCTGTTTG